CGAGCGAGCGCGTCACATGGTGGCGCGGGCCCCGCCGGCCTTTGTGCCGCGCGACCGCCCGACCGCCGAGGGGAGGCGGCGGCTATTGTTCCCCGCTGGGAGGGAGGCGCTCAGACTCCGGGTCCGCGCTAGCCGCCTCCCCAGAGCGTCCCCAGGTCCGAGGACGGGTGGAGGCTTCCTTTGTGTGTTCTCTGCCTGCGGCAGGGACGGCGTCGTTGCTGCCCCAAGGGGCGGCAGACGGGGGTAAGGGAGGTTGGTGCCAGCTCTGCCACTGCCTGGAGCTCAGCTCACCCGACCCAGTTTCGAGCTTCGCCCTTGCTGAGGAGGTGGGGAGGGATGTGGTATTTGTAGGGCAGCCTTTGAACAACAGAGCCATCAAAAGGCCTTCTCCCCAGCTTCTCCTTCAGAAAGGCCCTGCCCCAACAGGTCCTCTTAGCCTGACTTGAGGCCTGCTTCGCCAGCAATGACACTTCATCTGTATGAAGGTTCTCCACCAATCCTGATTTAAATTATCTCCTCCTTGGGCTCTTACGAATGGTAAAACCCTATTTTCATGATTTTCCAGATATTATTCTTCCAGAAAAAATGATGCAGACTAGCTATAGGAACCAGTCAAGATATTTTGCTACAAGATCTAGGACAAGAGGACTTATCAAGTATCTCCCACCTTGTGGATCTCCTGGGGACCCTTCACCTGCTTCTTCTACTGCAAATGATTGGACATCCATCTCCCTGGGCTCTTCCGGCTGGACCTGGCCTCGAAGTGAGTCCTTTGGATTGTCTTTCTACTTTTCCAACTTGCCAAGGTGGGTATGAGACCTGAGGGAAGTGTTTAGGCATGGGTTTTAGGTCAGGTATATAAATCCATTTGGCACCAACTTTGGGCCCCCAAAATGAGGGCATTTGTGGCTGGAGTAGAAGACAAGGGAACAATGAAAACTAAGGTTTTTTCCTCTGTGGTGATCCTGTCCACCACCAGCGCTACCAATGCAGTCAGTGCAGAGGATTCATCTACCCAATCTTTTTTCTCTCTATTCAGGCCTTTGCAAGAGAGATCTAAGTGAGCCAGTCCTCAGAGGTGGTGAGGGCATGGCTGGCAGTCTCAGCTCCCTGTGCCCAACGTGTCTAGGGATAGGTCTGTTCACCCATGCCCTAGCTATATCCTCTCTGGGAAGTTGCAGTGCCCTGAAGTGATCAGGCTATAGGCCCATGGCGACTAGAGCCTTCTGCCTCTGTTTTTATTTAATACAAACTTCTGTTCATTCTATTCTTTTCTTACAGTTTCTGAAAGAAGGACCAGAGTAAAGCCAGGAACTCCCAGATGAAGAGGACATTCCTGGATCTGTAACTGGGATTAACCAATTCTTGACTTCAGGAGGGAGTTTTAACTAATTCTCAGGATAAAGTGAAAACACGCCTATGACTGTCCTTTGAGTACTGAAGGTGTAAACAAGCTTCTGGCTCCCCCAGGTCAAGCAGAGAAACACTTTTATTAGGATGTTGGGTTCCTTCTTTGTTATTCAGACGTACACCCACACACATCCTCTTCACCCTCCCTAATGAAAAACCTCAACAGATGGAGAGCCTAGGCTCCCAAGCCTGCTGGCTGAGAAGATGCACTTCACTCAAGGGTCAGTTGCCTGGTATGGAATGGGGGAGGGAGAAGAGACAAGTAGCTAATGTAGGTAATCACTATCTTTTAATACTCCTTACAGATAGAAATTCAAAAAATCCTATTCAGCAAGGTTAGCAGCCTCTGGGGCCTGGGAAACCAATTTGGTTGATGTGTGTCTGTTAGGGACTGGGCTGGGGGCTGCACCAAAGGGAAGTACTCACTCTATATTCTCTCCCTCTCTCTCATTTGAAAGCCTGTACAAAGAAATGGTACAAATGGATGGTTAACTTAATAATTCCATCACAGGTGGATTTTTCTCTGTCAGGTCCCTGGATGAGGCTAAGGTCTGAAAGCCAGGAGGCAGAATATGTACTTAATCGCCCTTTCTTACCGCCTTTCCAGGGGCCGGGACTAGTCTTCAGGCCTTTCCTCTGCAACTTCCCCATCCCCCTGGCTAGCTCAGTTGGGTCTTCTCACTCCACTCCAGGCTGGGTCCTGAGTTTCTCCTGGTAGCCAGGGCAAGCACTCCCTCTGCCTAAATCTCTTTCCCCACCCCCACGTTCCATTTTGCAGCGGACCGTTGCCACTGCCTCACCTCTACCTTCCGTTAATTCAGATCTGTTTGCCTGGACAGAACAACCAGGGGCTCCCAAACGACTGCCACCTCCCATCCATGGGCCTGGGCTTGCGGCCCTGACCCCTTTCTTCAGGCTTCAGGAGGATCCCCCACAAGCTCGCTGATTCCCGTCTCCCCCAAAGCAGTCTCTGTGGGGAAAAAAAGCAGAGCTGGCCAAGGGCTGAGCCAGAGAGCCTTTTCCTCTGCTTAGGCAAACGAGGGTGAACCTTTCAGAGACCACTGGCTGAGCGAGGCCCGGCCCTTTCCCACCTCCCGGCGCCAGCCCAGCGCTGCCTTTGTGTGGCCTTGCCCGCCGCCGAGCCCGTGGGCGAGCCGCGCACACAATGGCGCAGCCGCGCCCGGAAGACCCGGCTGCTCCGGGCGCCCTCGAGCGAGCAGCGCCCGGCGGCCAGGACCCAGCAGCCTCGAGGCCCTGGTGCGCTCCCCACTGCCCCCCGCGCGCCCGGCCCGGGAAGAAGTCACAGGCTAGGGTGGACGCCTCCTTCCCCTGCCGACTTGTCCCCGCCCGCCGCCCGTCCTCCCCGGGAGGAGGAGAAGCCTGGGCCAGGGCGCCATTCCCAGGCCCGCGCTCCCCTCCCCCACTCGCTGCTTGCTCTGCTTTCCCGAGACCTGGGAGGGAGGAGGCGGGCGCTCCGCCGATAGAGCAGCTATTGTGACCTTCCCTTGCAGAGAGGGAAGCCAGCCGAGTGTGTACCGCCGGCGGTGGCGGGGGAGGAGGCGACTGTGTGCGCGGACCTCGGGGTGCGGAGAGGGTGGCCCTGGGAAATAAATGAGGTTTGCAACCTCGGGCACTTGGGCCCTTCAGAGGGCGTTTGGTTGTGTTTAGCCTCCCGTGCTTCCTAACACTAATTGCAGGCTCAAAAGGAGCAGAATTTATGGCGAAGGGCAAGGCGGCTTGTTTATAATTTATGAAGTTTTAAATGGCTGTGCCACGGGCCCTCGCTCTCGTCCTGGCCGGGGACCGCGCGCGAAGCGCCGTCCCCACCCGCGCCAGGAGGGACCCAGTGTGCCCAGTACAGGACACTCACGCCAATGGCAGGAACGGATCCGATCCATTCTCAGAAGCCTCGGGGAACCTTTCTCCAGAGGTGAGAAAAAACCGAATATTTGTCCTAAGAAAACTCCCCCACTCAAGTAGAGAGGGGTGCCTTGGGGCCGCTGCTGGTGCCTGGAGAGGGAGCCCCCAACCCCTCACTTCTTTGAAGCCTGAGTGCGAAAGCAAGCTGATGTCAGGCGGCCTAGACCCGTTTAACGTCTAATCCATGAAACCCTAAGCCGCAGATGACACTTGGGGCCTTGCAGACACCCGCAGACTCAGCAGATACTCCTGCGGTAACACACCGCGCTGGAAAACGCCTGGAGCCATGATGCATTATGTATTTTTATTATTATTTATGGTAGGAAGAGGAGATGAGGGAAAACCAGGCTGAATCTAACCAGCCTGACAATTCATCTATTTAATATTTAGCCAGTTAAGAAAGAGTATTGTACTCCCTGCAAGACAGCAAGCTCTTTGATTTCCCTAACAGCTTAAAAAATAATTTCTTACAAGACAATTAGAAATTCTGCCTATGGATGCAAATTTCATAGAAAACAATTTTAAGCCTTGAAAGTGGGTAAAATATCCCTCCAGTTGAAGTCATTTATTCTGTTGATACACTTCTACAACATGTATACTACTTTTAACCTGTTCCAATAAAGTGAAATTTAGCAAAAGGAGAGTCCCTTCCCGCCCCCAATCTAACATGCCATTTTAAAAACAGCACAAAGGAACAAGGAAACTAAATAATATTTTGAGCCATCATTATTTAGCGAAACACAAACATCCAAATAGAAACAATTGTTGTTCCACCAGAAGATTAGAAGTTAAATTATTTCCACACAATAGGAATTTCAGCTCGTGTCACTGGGGATGTAGTAGGAGTTGCATTATTTGTCAAACCAAATAGAGATGCGTGGGCTGACTTTGCTGAAATACAAAAGAATTGAACCTTATCTGAAGGCGTTTTCCAAGTGCCTCCTCCCAGAAAAGCGGGTGTTAAGTTGTCCACCCCTAGCTAAGCCACGCTAATATTTACAAAATGGTTATAAATCCTTGAAGACATGTTTGCCCATTTTGTACAAAGAAACCGGAGTAAACAAGGTGTTTATACTTGTTATGTCCCATTAATGAAACTTTTATTACTTTACATGTCGGGGAACGTTTGTTTTCTTTAGAAATGAACCGCTGACCAGTATAAAGGAACAAGTCCTGACAGCATTCCCTAGAGAAAAAGCTTAGGTGTGTATCTCCAAAGGATCGTTTCTTTTTCTGCACCTTAGTTTTTTCATAGCTCAGTTCTTACGACTTCTCATCTTTTCTTTGATTGTCAGTCTTCTTTCAAAGTTTATTTTTTATTACTTAATGCGGAAAAGTGACCTCTAGCCTCCCCAATGTAAATGCAATCTAGAAAAGTCGATCTGTGTCTAGAAAGTGGGTGGTAGATACAGCAAAGCAGGCGCAGAAAGCCCTACCGGAAACATCCCACCCAGAACATTTATAGGTCTGCATCCTCAGATTTCCCCCTCTAATGTCAATAGCTAGAATGATCAAGTATCCCCAGAACCAATTTGTGTACTAGAATCCACATAAATGAAAAGAAAAATATTTCAAAGCCTCAGCCTAGTTTGGGGCTTTCCACCACGACTGTGCATAAGATAAAGGCAGAGTGCTGTAGTTGCAAGTGTGCGTGATTAACACAGATACACTTCCGACTGAGAAATTTTTTTATTCTAAATATTTGTTCAAATATTACCAGACAATTTGAAATCAATAAACTGTGTCAAGTGGTGAGGGCTGCAGCTGTTGAGAAATGGGTAGCGGGTGTCTTGCCTCGCCACAGGGCCGCCTGACTCTACCCATGAAGGACAATTTGCGGTCTTAATCCTTTACATCAACTACAAACACCAGCCACGGTTACAACTGTTCAAAACTACTCTCTCAACTAGTTCAGACAAAGCGGACTAAAGAGGTGAAATGTGGCCCCCGCGGCCTGGGAGCGCGTTCCTAAGCTCGGCTGGAGAATTCTACAAATATACACATAAATACATTAAGACGAGGATAAATAATCAGGGAAACGAAATGACTCGCTTCAAATAATAAATACAGATCGTTGAGTCCGATGCAATCCTTACGGGACGGGAAGGAGCGTATAAATTAAGGTCTCCGCAACTAAGCTAGACGCGGGCCAGACCCGGGGCTCTCCGGGCTCAGGTCCCTCTGCAGGGCGCGCCGCCGATAGATTCAGACTTACCTTCGGGACACCAGTACCAGATTAGAGTCCCTCGGTCCGCAGTATACGGCTTTGCCAGGCTTACAGAGGAGAATCCTTGCGGTTGATTTATGGCGAGTCACCCAAAGGACGCGCGCCTGGAGGGAAGGCCCAGTCGCCTGCGCCTCGGCCGCTGTTGGCCCGAGACCTGGGAGGCAGCGACCGGCCCAGAACGAGGGAGGCAGGTCACCCAGCTGCCCCGCGGGCCCCGCCCGCCACCCCCGCCACCAAAGCAAAAGAGGTAATTGCGCCGCGAGTTCCGGCCGGTGGCGGCCGCTACAGATGCGTCAGTTTGGGGGCCTCGGGCAGGCGTCCCTGAGACGAGTGGTGGGCCGAGAGATCTGTGTAGGTGGGATGGGGGTCGCACGGTCCGTGGTGGTGGTTGCCCGGAATCTGCGCGGCACAGCTGTAGTCCACGCTGGCCGAAGACGGGTGCGAGAGGTGGCCCAGGTTGAAGACGGGCCCGGACGCGGGCGCCATGGAGTCGACGAAGTTGCCGCCCACGTACACAGGGCTGCCCTGCAGGTTGGCGCTGGCGAAGCCGCCGCCGTTGCTCGCCATGGGGTGGGGCTCGAACTCGTGCGCCGCGTAGCGCTTCTGCTGCGGCAGGCAGCTGCTGAGCGGCGCCGTGTAGGCGGCCAGGCCGTACATGTTGGGCTGAGATTTGGCGAAGGTGGGCGGCGAGGGCGCGTCGTAGGCCAGGCCCGGCACGGGCGGCAGCTGGCCCGAGTAGGCCACGTGGCCCGCGGCGCCGCCGAGCGGGGGGCTGCGCTCCGGAGACTGACCCGCCGGCGAGTGCAGGATGCCCTTGGCCTTCTGGTCCTTCTTGTACTTCATGCGCCGGTTCTGGAACCAGATCTTGATCTGGCGCTCGGTGAGGTTCAGCAGGTTGGCCATCTCCACGCGACGTGGCCGGCACAAGTAGCGGTTGAAGTGGAATTCCTTCTCCAACTCCACCAGCTGTGCACTCGTGTACGCTGTGCGCACCCGCTTGGACGCTGGGCCTGGCGGGCTCTTGTCTTCGCAGCTCTCTCCTAGGCAGGGAGGGAGAGAGAGGGGACGCTGAGCGGGAGAGGTGGGGACACCCAGGGCCCGAGAAGGGTGCTTCCCTGGTTCCCTCCTCTTCCTCTACCTCTTCCCCCATCTCAATCCTGCCTGGAGTGGGGGTAGGTGGTGGCGTCTGAGAGGTGAGATTCCAAGGGGGAACTCACCGGCCCCAAGCCTACCTATCAGTCGCACCTGAAACCCCCATCTGCCTTCTGAGATCCATTCGTTCTGCCCGCCCCCACCCCTCCAGCCTAGTCCATCATCCCATCGCAAAGGCCGTGGAGGAGTTTAATGAGAGACTAGTAGCAGCTGGTAAGGCTTCCCCTCTGTCAAAGAAGGGCCAGATTTCTTTGAACACTCCTCCCAGCCTCTGCTGCTGGAGGGGGAGGCAGCCCCAGCCTGCCTTACTCAGGGGCTGGCTCCTGGGCAAAGCATCCCATGAAACGTGGAAAGAGGGTGGAGATCTTGGCACCTCTCTCCAACCCAGCTGCACCCAAAGGCTCTGCACCCAAACACAGGGAGGTGATAAACCATAAAAATACTGCCCCGGAGTTTCAGGGGATCCAAGGCCATGGGTGCATTTTGAGTATTGCAGTGCTAGGAGCAGCAGCCTCAACACTAGTTTCCACCACCCCTGCCACCTCTCAGCAGCCTGTCCGCTCCCTCCCTGGGAAGACAAATGGATTTCTCCTGGGAGGGAGGGCTTGGGCCTGCAGCTGGGAAGGAGGGGCAGGAAGAGAAGGAGCTTACAGGCTGGAAGACACTCTCCCCCTAGGAGCAGCAGCCCCAGAGAGCAGCAGGCAACCAGAAACCTGATAACAAGCTAGCTACATCCCAGGCCTCAAACTAGCTCTGGACCTGGAAGCAAGTTCATCTACCTGAAAATAAACCACATCAGGGAACACAGGCCAGAAAATTTCAGGAACCAAGCAGGCTAAGGAGAGAGAGGCAGCAGTCCTCAGAGCTCCTGTCCCTGCCCCCCTTCTTCCATACACCCTGAATGGACCTATAGAAGATCTCAACTCTGGGGTCTCCTTTTCCAGGGAGAGAAACCCAAGGCTGCTCCTGTTTCAGAGCACATCCTCTTCCTCTAGGATATGCCCCTCCCCATCATGGATTTGCTGGGATGGGGAGAATTGGGCTGGGGTGAGTCAAGTAGAGTGCCATGGTTATGCCTTGCAAGCCCTGGTCGGATTTGAGTGCGCCATTTTGTAGTTTTGTAATCTTGGGCAAGTCACTTATCTCTAATAGTTTCCTTTATCTGTAAAACAGGGATGTTATCATATACCTACCTCAAAGAGTTCTTTGGAAAATTAAATTATATAATGCTTGTGAAGTACTCAGCATGGTTCTTAACATAGCAATCCATAGACTTTAGTTCTTATTAAGTTAATGGAGTAGGATTCCTGTGATATGGGCTACATAACCACCTGGGCTTGGGGATCATAATACCTGTCTTCCAAGTTTTGAAGAGCTATTGAGTGGAAGAAGGAGCTGAGTTATGACCAGCAGCCCAGGAAAGCAGATATTAGGTCAGTATAAGGAAGAGCTGTCTGTTAATAGCTATGAGACTTGTCCAGCAATGGTACCAGCAGCCTGTAATGGAAGTGAGTATCCTGTCACTGTAAGGGTATGACCCTAATCAAGGACACTAAGAAGAAAGGACATTTATGCATGAATTGGAGTTTAGACATAGGCCTCCAAAGTTACACTTCCAGCCCTGAGTCTCCTGATTCCCAGGTGAGCTAGCTTCTTGGGGTCAGTCTGAGGGATTTAGCTCAGGGGTGAGCCCCCTCAGAGAGCTACCTGCAGTGGCACAGCTGTTCTTCTGCTTGGAGTTCTGTCTGGACTCTTTCATCCAGGGGAAGATCTGCTTGCTGATGGTGGCTGAGGAGCCAGAAGCATTGGGCCCACCCTTGGCCTTCTTGGCAGGTACTCCACCTCCAGGATTGGTGGGTGAGGATGGGGGCAGTGTTGGTGGTGGAGGAGGGGGTTGTGGTGGCTGCTGCTCTGAATTCAGACCAGGAGGCTGGCTGCCACCACCCCCACCCTGGTTGTTCCCAGTACCAGGCCGCATGCAGCTGCCATTGAGTTCAGCCCCCTTGTGGGCTGGGGCTCTCAGAGGTGCAGAGCTCTGGATGGAGCAGGCAGAGCCCGGGTAATCAGTGTCCAGGGAGTTGGCAGCAGCAGGGGGTGGATAAGGCTGATGGGGGGCACTGTAGCCATAAGTGTCAGTGGCTTTGCTGTAGCCATAGCCTCCGAAGAGTCCTGGGTTTTCATAGTAAGCAGCCTTCTGCATCGTGCACTGAGGAAGCTCCGGGGTCTGCTGATCGTGCTCAAATAACATTGACCACCACTGTGTCCTTCACCGCCGCCTCCAATGTCTGCCAAATCCTGAGAGAGCTGGGGCAGCCCCAGGCTCCAGGTGACCTGTGGAGAAGAAAAGTGAGAGGCCCCAGAGGTACTGTCATTGGCACGACTGGTCAATATTAGAAGGACTAGCCCAGACTCTCTGCTTCCCATCCACTTCCTAGTGGGAGGATCTAGGATTTTATAAAGTTCACCTTATTTGAACCCTTGGAGAAGTCAGAAGGAATTTCTCATAAACATACCAAAAGACCTTTCCTTCTCTTTAGCTCAACTCCTTCCAAGGGAAGGAGCTTCCCCCTCCCCCCCCCAGATACAATTTTCTTTCTCCAAGATTGTCAATTTCGCCTTTGAAACTACATGGAAAAGCACTTCGGCCTCATACATTTTAATGGCTGATTTTCCCACTAGATATTGAGCTCCTTGCAGGCAGGGACTGTGTCTTATTCATCTATGTATCTCTAACATCAATCCCAGTGCCCTGTATGTAGTAAGTACAATAAATGCTTGTTGAATGAGTGAATGAATGAATGGGTCAATCAGTCAATCAGTGGGTCATCCCAAGGTTTCTATGGGCAAAAGAAAGCCCTATAACACACTCAAATAGCCACAGCTCTCAAAACAAGCATCTCCCCCACCTGGTTTCAAAATCACAGCATCTTTCATGGAAACCCAGATAGTCCACTTTCCGGTGACAAGGTGAGCTCCGTGGGTCAGCACTGTGAAATCTTCTAGGAGATAAAAACCAAGAGGACTTAAAGACTTCCAGACTTATTTTGAGGCTGGAAAATGTTTCTTTTTCATCTACTTTTTTCTAGACTCTTGTCCTCGACTACTTTTAAATGAATAGCACTGGAAATGGGTGAAGAGATTTAGAGTTTGAAATGCATGGAGCATGGGTGGATGGAAAATGCTTTATATTATAACTTTGTCATTTGTATCCTGCATCTATTGTATAAATATTGTTATTGACCTCTGCTCTGGATCATCCATTCCACCCCACCTCCCACCCAACCCACAACCAATGAGAACCTCTCATGGCATAATGAATGGACCCAGAATTAGAAGAGAAAAAAAAAAGCTAAGAAAAATTCTACCCCTTTTGTGTCCTCTAACTCTTGATGGGGATTTCCCTTCTCACCCTGCCCCCCACCCCTTCTCCTGAAAGGCTCCTAAGGAGTTAAAGTATAACTAATTCAACTACTTTTGTCTGCTTGATAAAGAAAACTCATAGGTCAGCTCCCCTGGTCTTAATTCTTGATCTCCTCTTTCAGGCAACTTTCTTTCCCCCAAACTCCCTGGCTTCCATCATGGTCATCATGATGGACCACATTACCTAGACAACTTGTGCAGCCTAATGGATATGACCACTAGTACTGAAACCACGCCTCCATGTACTCATTTCCCTTCCACTTTCACAAAAGATTCTAACCCAATTTAAAAAATTCTTCATATTAGCCTTTGTTTGGTAGTATTGTTGCCTATTTGTGTTTTAAAATATAAGTGAATATGCCATTTATCTTGATAAGAGACAGGCCCTTGTCAATGGGATAATAGAATACTAGGATGTTATGTTTTAGGAATTGTTTCTATTATTGTTCTTAAATTTATGTAGTTAGGCTATCTACCTAACAAAGCTGGTCTTAATCTTCCTTTCAATTCATTTTCTTTATCATTCTCTGATATTAAAGTAACTGAATATCAACTGAACAGCTGCATCCTCATCCTCTGGCTCATATTTATATGTGTTTGCCATCAGGCCAAATGACCAGCTACTCTGGATTTGGTTAAGTTTCTGGACTCTTCTGGGACCCTGCTTCCAGTCTTAAACCTTGGGCCCTCTGGATGTCAAAATGGTCACATTTGACACTCAGACTACTAGAACTCACTGCTGCTTCTGTCATTCCATTTACAAATGTGGTAGCAAAACATCCCCCTCTTGCCTCCCAGGTTGACCAAGTTTATCTTGATAGGTAGACCAGTCACATTAAAATAGCTTCCTTAGGAAGTGAACAGGTCTTTGAAACAGATGCCTTTACATATACGTATTTGTTCCTATGGCATATTCCTAGAAAAAGCTCTGTGGACCTCAAAAGTGCAAACACTGGGCAGCTTCATGAGTAACCAGAGTCTGTTCTCTCGCCTCTATTTTCATTGTCTTAAGGAATTTCAAGGCCCAACGGTGATCCACCACCCCAATGTCCATTTCCCCAGAAGTAAGGGCAGTAGCCCTTTCCTCCACGGGAAGGGCTTTGCAGCCTCCCCCCACCTCCAAAAAATATATAGTGCCCCAAAGAAGCCACCTCTCCTAAAACAGAACCTGAGAGTATTATTACAAAACTGGTTTTTTAAAAAAATGCTTCTTTCCAGAAATGCCTACTCCTTGTGAACTCTGCTTGAACCTAAAAAGCAGGAACAGGTCATAAATCATTTGGACAATGGTCAACTGTTCAGTGGCTCATCTTTTCGATCACCCTCCCCTCCCTTTTTTTTAAGGCTTTTTTTCCTTGCCTTTGGTACCTCTGCTCTTTTCAGCTCAGGGACCCGAATGCCTGGGGGTGAAGACTAGCCTGCTTGGGGGAGGGGCAGTCTTCGAAGTCCTCAGATGCCCTTTTCTCTCACTCCTCCACCCCTTTACCCCCCAGCCCAGGATCGGCGTGGGTAGCCTCCCCAGAACCCCGCCATCCCCGGCCCCTCCTGGGTAAGGGGCGCCAAACGGGGTCCGGCTAGTCCTTTCTCACGGTCCCGGGAAGTGGCCCAACTCTGTTCGGAGACCCAACTACAGGGCAGGGATGCAGGGCCAAACGGTCCCCAGTCGGAAGGAAGGCGGCCTCGGCCTCGGAGAGACCACAGCCCGCTCCCCGGGCCGCGCTGGCCCGCCGCATCCGCTGCGCCTCCGAAAGAGCGGAACCCTGATACTTGCTCACTGCACTTAATTCTGCCCGAGATCAATACCTAATATGATACCGAATAAATAAAAGGCGCTCACAGCGGCCAGGGGACGGGGTTATTAAGCAGCTGGAGCTCTCACGGTGCATATCAATGCACCTGTCATTGTGGTTTGTAACAAAATTTATGACTGCGAGCGCGGCGGCAGTAAACGCTTCAGTAAGGAATGAAAAGAAAAACACTTCCCAAGGCCCGGCACTTTTCAGAAGTGGAAAACAGGCTCCGCGTAGGAGGAAGCGTACCAAAAGAATTCCCGACTCCGCACTTTTCCCGGCCCCGCGCCCCGCGAGCAGGGAGATTATATAAAGTGGCCGGCGCCCGCCTCTTGGAGCAGCTCTGCTTGGCGGCCGGACGCGGGACGGGACGCGCGCAGCCCAGCCGGGGCCCGAAGACCTGCTGCCCGCCGAGGCCTGGGGAGCTGGGGACGCCGGGAGGCTCGCCGGACGCGCGGAGGCTGGCCCGGCGCTCGCTCGCTCGCCGCCGTGGCCCTGTAAAGGCCAAGGGGCTCGGGGAGGGAGGGGGCGGCAGTCGCTGGGCTGTGACTAGCGCCGCAGTCGTCGTAAATCACGGACCGGTAGAGTCAGTCCGTGCACGCTGAAAGAGAAAGGCGAGGCAATGGAGTGCTGGTTGCTCTTCTGTTCCTCTCAAATTTTTCTAAGGTTCGAGTTGGCCTCGGCTCCTCTCCCTGTTTTGCCTAAACCAGGGCCTTGGAAGCCCACAGATCTCTTTCTGGCGGAGACGACTCTTGCTGGGTATCCCCGTTAATTCACTGGAACCTAGTAGCGATTCTTCTCTCCCTGTTGGCTTTGCTACTTCGGGATTTCGGAACCACTTCTCTTCGGTTTTGCTCGGAAGGGGATATATTTACTGCAGAGCTGGGGCAGCTTTCTGCCCAAGTTCTGCCATCGCTCAGCCTGAGCCTCTCCTGCCCTATGGGAAGCCCTGGACGCGCCTTCTAAATCACTCTTATTTAGCCCAGATAACTCAATATGTAATACACCCTGCATTTAAGGCACTGGGTTCACCCCATTAAAGCGCCATAAATTTGAAGGCCAATGATCGGTTATCATGTAACGGGTGGCAGTTCACACTGAGGTGATCCACTTCAAAGCCGCCCTTTGTTTTATGTCTTGATGTATGAATCCTGAGATGGCTACCTTGAGTTGCAGGACTGATGGAAATATAGTGGAAATTATTTTTAAAAATCATGCCACTCACCACAGTTATGTGTGTGTGTTTTCTCACATTTTGTCTCTAACTCTTTTTGTAGGCTCTTCGGGTTCCTTTTGATATTCTGTTGAGGTGGATCTGGAACAAAATGGAAAACTCAGTGGCGGCGGTTCTTTCTTACACTTATGTTGAGAGGCTTTACCCTCTTTAAGGGTGTCATAATCAATGTGACTTGTATATGGTGCCCGAAGCCATTCCAGGCGCCTTCTCCTTGGCAGAAAGGAGACCTCAATTGGCTCCTGGGGAGCTCGTGGCCTTTAACAACAAAATCCTTGGCTGGATGGGGGAAGAGGGAGCCCAGACCTGAGGGAAGGGCCAGACCCTCGGGCGGGGGTGGGCCAAGTGAGTCAGAGGCACAGGGAAACCAGTTCCTCTCCTCCTGCTCCAACCAAGCCCTAAATGCTCCAGGTGCCCCAATCCCTCAAGCCAAGCCGACCCTCCTAGGAGCAAAAGAGAGGGACTGTGCAGAATTGGGGTGGAAGGGAGGCTACAGCATGGGGCGCCAGAAAAGGAGGGTGGATAGGTAGATGGGCCTGAGTAGGTCCCAGTCAAAGGCTGCCACGCTCAGCCCCAGTGAAGAGGGAGCTGGATGCTGTTTCCTCGTTTGTAACTTTACATCTCGGATGGTTTCCCCGAGTTGATTTTATTCCAGTAAGTACTCACCACATTCCTGGCCTGGGCTGCCCATGCCTGTGTCAGGAGCAGGCTGCAAACCCCCTAAGAAACAAACATCCTTTCCACTCCCACCCCAAACCAGACCAAGCTGCCCACCACTGCCGGGCTCAATGGGTGCCCGCCCCCGGTCAGGTAAAAGGAGAGAAACAATCCCTGCCCTGTGCAATTTGTCGACTCAGTAGTTTGCAAACACTAAACCTCGCCCGGGAAAGCCCCACACAAAGCATTCCCGGCCCTTCTAAAGACCAGAGTGCGCAGCCATAAGCCTTTGAAGTGACCTTTGGCTCACGCAGCAATAACTCACCCCTTAATGAACACCCAACGGAAGCGCCTCGGAGAGATCCTGGCCCGGTAGGGCTCCTAACATCGCGCCCGGCTTCAGCTTCCCACCGGCCTGGACCCAGGGGGCCCACTCCGCTGGGCCGGCCCCAGGGTTGCGCGGCGGAGACGAAATGTACCCGGGCCCTCGGACCGGACTGACGAGTCCCGAAGCCGCTTTATATGATACATTCACGTGGGCAGACGTCAACTTTCGCCGCTTGATTATTTTTTAATTTTTTTGGGGGGAAAAAAAGGGTTCTTTAAAAGTAGAAGCTTCCCCTCAGAAGAAGGGCTAAATTGGGATGCCACCCATGGCCGCGATCCCCAGACGCCTGTAGCTAGATTTTGTTTTCCCAGTCGCGGAGGAACAGGGTAAGTTTGCTCCTGGGCGTTTGCGTGGTGCGCTCGGGGCTCTGGGCGCAAGAGGTTTGGGAAGGGGAAAGGAAAGAGGACCCCAAGGTGGCCAAAGTTGGGCCGCCCAGAGTCCCCAGCGCCTTCTCCCGCGCTCCCTCCCCAGCCCACCCACCATCCAGCACCGGCCCAACTTCAGCCTCCGGCTTGCCCAGAATCGCAGGCTTAACCCGGCTGGCTCTGGGCCACCAGCTCAAGTACCCTTTCCACAGCCAGAAACTGG